ACCACTACCATAGTTTGAAGGCTGGCGTCCCGTGTGCCGCGGTTGTCAAACCCAGTCGCCTTGTGCAAACTCTGTTGGCAATCGATGATCGACCCTGATTCAATGGCTGTCAAGTGCATTGCGTCTCTGATGGTCACGTCGACACTCCGGTCAGTGCTTGCTACCGACTAGTTGTAAATGCAACTAGGTCCTCCTTTCTGAAAAACCCCATTTTCATGCGTCACACGCTACATTTTCATGTTCAGAGAGATCACGCAATTATTGTCAATACTTATTTCACTCCTTTTTTCAGCAGATTAAGTGCTCCCTAAGTGCTCGAGGTTGCGCTTAATAAGTAACAAAAAAAATAATTAAGCAGATAGTTCTGTCCACATACTTCTACTTGATTGGGGTTAATATCGCGCCACCATTGATATACTCAGCAACATAACTTTATTGCACTTTGGTTGGATAAAACAATCATCTTCTATTTTATCAAAGATACGGTTATCAGCAGCCCAGGGACAACAACGGCCACCACCTCAACGACTAGTAAGTTTTTCACAGCGATTTCACTTTCCTGTCATTTTTATCCTCTTGCATCTTCATACTTCTGCCAAAAAGACAAACGCAGTCTGCAGGACTATAAACTATTAAATGAAGGCCATGAAACGATATTTCTTCGGAGCTGACCGCAAAAGTGGCCAAAAATCTGGCTAGCTCGCACGCCGCGCTAGCGATCTGCCCGCATGCAATGCACGTGACGATGTCGGCAGGATTAAGACTCTAGTTCGCCAGTGGAATGACCCAGAAGGCCAATCGAGATGCTACCCTCTCAAGGTCACTATCTGATTGGTCCGATTGCTGTCTAATCTTGAACATGCGCGTGCATGCCTCGTTTGCCTTAGAAAACACACGTACGACAATATACCTCTATTTTCTTGCTCGTGCTGTTGAGCACTCCTTAAGGGATTCCGTCAAGGCGCTTTTGGACGACGACCATCGAAGTTTAGGGAAATTTCTTAACAAATTAATCTCATTTACCTTTGCGTAGCTCCAGCCTCCAGGTAACACAGGCGTTCCCTTTCAGTCGGAACAACCAGTGATGTTGGCACACGCGTCAACGAATAAACATGGTTTATCTACTTGTTATAAGTTCAGTTGTAAGGGAACCTTCTTAATTTTGTCCTGATAGGTCCCTCATACGTCAAGGTTATCTGAAGACATGTCCCGTCTAGCTTGACCTTCCCCACTAGGGTTTTAAGGTGTGATATTCCAGAAGGGTTGCTTAAAGATACCTTTCGTAATAAAAACCACTTTAGCATAGAGGAAGCAATGCATAACAAACATATGCAGACGCACAAAACTTTTACCAAGGCCCGTGTTTTATCGCATACACCTAAATAAGGTTCGTGAAAGCATTCATGGAGAAAACCATACGTGACAGTTGAATAAGCAACCAGTGGACATCCCAGAATCTCGTACATTTCTTTATGAACTGTCTTCACCTCGATCCACAATCACACAGACCTGAAGATAGGAGCTGTGACCACGGCAAAGGTTGCTACCTCCGACTTCGGGTAGGTGAAATCACTGCCCAAGATGCCAGGCCTCGAAAAAACATC